CTGCCCAGAGCCACATCCAGCCTGGCCTTGAATGCCTCCAGGGATGGGGCATCCACAGCCTCCTTGGACAACCTGTTCCACTGCATCACCACCCTCTGGGTGAAAAACTTCCTCCTAATATCTGACCTAAACCTCCCCTGCCTCAGTTTAAAACCATTCCCCTTGTCCTATCACTATCCATCCTCGTGAACAGCCGCTCCCCCTTCTGTTCATATGCTCCCTTCAAGTACTGGAAGGCCACAATGAAGTCTCCATGTAGCCTTCTCTTCTCCAAGCTAAACAAGTCCAGTTCCCTCAACCTTTCCTCCAGCCCTCTGATCATCTCAGTGGCCCCGCTAGGCCTAGGAGATAAAGTAGCTTTCCTCTCCACCATTTTTCATTCGAGAAGACGTTGAAGATTTACTCTAAACTGTTTCTGCTGTACATATTTCATTTTCCAGTAACAGGAGAGCTGTGTCTCACAGAGTAGTCTAACACAAAACCAGCATTAAGGAAGCATACATAACACGTTTTACCTTTTGCACCAGATAGCTGAGTAGAAAGAGACAAGGAAACATATCTATGGAGAACAGATCTAGCAGCATACATTCCAGCAGTCCAGGCAAAACCTGCTACTGGAACAGTACGAACAGGAGCCTACCATGAACTGCAAGCATACATCAAAAAAGCAGATAATAAGATAACCAGCAACTCTTACCGTTTGAATTTTGTCATCTACAATTTTAATTGGCTGGCATTGTTCTTTTGCCATGAAAACCAAGAGCTTCCTGATCAGGGTGGCATCTTTCATGACAGCCTGCAGGTTCACAGTCTGACCATTTGTAAACATCCGGTCTCCAACACGATTTACAGGACGATACCTACAGCAGATCAAAATCATTTTAGAAAATTAACATTGCCAAAAGAGAATATAACAAGCCTCAAGCATTCTGAGCTAAATCTTCAATGCGTAAAACATAATGCCTAAGAGCTAACAGTGAGCATTTAAAACTTCATTTATTACACTGAGGCAGTCATACAGAAGAAATCCTACTGCACCACACAGCTATAATATCCACATATTCTGGAAGCTGAAATACTAATACCAAAATATGCTTTTGTAAAAACTAGCATGCATCTTCTGACTCCTTAGGACCCTGTGACTTCTTTTGTGCTTGTCTGGGGAATTTTTACCTTGAAGGAGGAACCACAAGCAGATCTAAGAAAAACATATCCGGGCTGAAAGCTGAGTCCTTATGGGGATCCATCCCAGGGAAGAGGTAACGCAGAAAGAAACCTGAAGAGATGAACACACCATTATGCTTTTGTTTGGGAATTCGAACCCCCAGATACACTTGGTCAATCAAGTCAAAAGACTCTGCCCAGTTAAATACCAGAGAGCTTGTTTAAGAGAATACATAGGCAAAAATACTTTACAAAGAATGCTATTGTTCTTTTCGGTCACATCTTTTTTTAGAAATGATTATGAATGGAAATGCAGAGCACAACAAAAGAAAAATGTCAGAAGAGCTGAAAGAAACAGTCCACAGCTACTGGCTGTGACTACAGCATGAAATCCCTCAATTTTTCCTTCCAACTGTATGCACATCCAGTGCATAGGAAATTCAGAACATTCAATCTTCAACCAATAAAACCATGGGGAATGGTAAGCACAGAGCCACACAGACATCATACTCTCCATAAACAACAACCAAGCTTTGAGAAAGGGCAACTTGATAACAGCCGATCAAACTAGGTCACCAAATGCTCTGCCTTCACTAGGAACCAGCCCTTCTTGTCCCTAAAAATCCATCTTTCAACCAAGAGCTCTTAAGGTAAAAGATACAGATTTGAAAAGGAATAAACATTACCTTCATTCTTCCACAGAGCCAAGACGAATTCCTTGGCAGTCATTGGTGTCAGGTATCCTCTCTTCCCTAACTGAGTTTCATCAATAGCTAAAAGGAAAGAAGAAGGGGAGAGGGGTGAGAATAATAAGTTAATTTGAAAGGTGTGTTGTTGTTTTTGGTTTTTTTTGTTTTGTTTTGCTTACAGTGATGTTTCCAGCAAAGGGAAAGATTGAAAATAGTAACCAATGTATTTATTTGGTGTGCTACCTTCTTTAAAGTAGTGTCATTAATTTCATATCCTAAAAGCAATCATGCTAATCTAAGAGTCTTCTCAGTACTGAAAAAGTAAGCTTTTTGTGTGACCACTGGATGACAAAATAAGTAAATGAAACAAAACTCATCTCTAATAGCTGAAGCATGTTTTATTTGATTAACAGCAAACTGTACCACTTCCTTAAATGATCACCTCCACAGACGAGAACAAAAATGAAGAGCCCACCTGTAACTCAAAAAGACACAAGTAGGACTGAAGTATTACTAATGAGGTCAAGATATACAAGAAATACCTTGGTCTTTGCTAACTGACAGGAGGGAAATATTTCTTAATAATACTTCACATGCAAACATTAGAAGTGTCCACAAGAATAAGGCAAGCTATTCTAACCGTGGCAACTCTCTTGACTCTCCAGAACAACTATTTAAATCACTAAGATAACAAAACATGCCACCAGACTGGCAGCTGCTCTAAGGAGTGTAGAGATAGAAAGCCCAAAGTAGTATTTGACAACCTCATGGAGTCACAGCTGTCACTCAAAAGTACTACCACTGGGATATCCACACTTTCCTGCCTTTGTTGAATGCGTCACAGATAGGATGCTAGAGCAGACACCTGGAATTTAATGGAATCTGGGTAATCTCCTACTGCTGAATTTACTGTGTTTTTTCCTTTTGTTTTTCTGATTTTTTATTTTTTAATACAAAAATCAAAAGCTCATATTCATTGTTAGAAATTTGTCCATCTTAAATAAAGGCAAGTAAGTGCAAACATATCTGAGCATAAGGCAAACATCTTACCTACTGGTTCATCCACAACACCTTCCTCTCCTGCCTTATGAAACACTGTAGAAGGATAAGTTACTGTCAGCTTGCTGTTATGCTCTTTCCGCACCAGTGATCTCCTTGATCTTAAAGGAAAAAAGAAAAGAAGAGACTTACACTATTTGACTTCACACCACCCGTTTAATTCCTCACGTAGCTAAACTTACTTGCAGTTTGGGCATTTCTTTGAAGTCATATGTGCTTTCCAGAACTGGGATATCAATTTATTTCTACACTCACAAACATTTTTTACCTGGTGAGAAAAAACAGAAAGCAGAAAAGAAAGCATATTTCATACAAAGCTAATAGTTACTCAAACTTTGGGCCAGGGAGGAAAATATTTTTACACATTTTAGACATTTTGCTCTAAATGTAACACAGGTCAAAATCTCAAGAAGAAATTCTACAGTATGCATAATCAAACACAGACTTCCCTCTGTACATTATTATATTACACAGACAAAATCTGAGGTCCCAAGAGGAGCACTGATTCTACTTACATTTGAACACTGATCACTCAGTTCTTGACTTTGCAATATTTCATCAACATGGCGATTTAATTCTTCTTCAATTTCTAGAGCTGTCGCATCTGCGCTTTGCTCTAAAAACTGAAAGAAATAGAATACAGATAGGTTTGTAATTGCAGCACCATCAACTGGAAAAAAAAAAAAGAACGGAGAAAGACGGACTACTTGCCCTGTTTAAGATGACTTCAAGATCATGCACAGCATGAAGCAACCCATGCTCCAGAACCTTCAGCTGACTTAGCAGCAAATGAACCACAGCTCGAGTACATGTCAGCATGTGACAATTTAAACAAGAACCTCGAATTAGAAGGTATAGTTTCTGGAACAAAAAGAAGGAAAAAAAAGTTATTCTGGTAGATGTATTAGCTTGCATGTGTGTTGTCACTCAAGAGTAATGCTATATAAGTAGTCAAGTATCATCCACAATGACTTAGTTTTCTGGTGTACAAGGACCTGCAGGTACAAATACACAAATATCTCTGCTGTGAGCTTGAACAGGACCTGAATGCCCATTTGGAAACTCTAAGATAAAAGTAGGTAGTTGTTGGACACCATCCCTCGCTTCAGTTGTGAGACAACAATTAAGCATACATACATCAAAAAACAGAGGGTTGTAGACAGTCAGAGGCAGTTCTATATGGCCAAAGTGCCCTGGGCAGTTGCTGAAGTTCTGCATGCACGTTGCACATGCTTCTTTGGAATCAGGAGGCCCCAGAGCCAGGTCGTACAATCCATTAACAGAAGGATTCCCCACATTATCCAAATACTGAGGATTTGTTATGGCTTTTACGCTCAGTTTCCTGAAGTAGAAAGGATAAAAATCAGTGGCAGAAAAAAAAAACAAACAAGAAAAATAGGAAACACATTTTAACGTTACAGCCAGCATTGACACTGAGTGATGAAAACTCCTTTCTGCAAGCATGCTGGGCATGCACGGGCATATCGATAGGGCTGCCTGCACCACGCACAGTAAATACATCTCTTATATATTTAACAACTGCAGGAGGAAGACGTAACGTCACCGGCTGCCCCATGCCATAAAACTATTCCGTCTTCCCCACAGGGAACACAGCACCCCGCACTCAGTGACCACAGGGGGGGAACCATTTGCCACTGCGGCCGGGGCGCAGGCGGACTACACATCCCGGCATGCTGCGCGCCCACAGTCCATTGCCGCGTTTTGCCGCCGCCGCGCAAGGCACGCTGGGAGTTGCGGTCCCTCAGGCCGAGCAGGCAGCCCCCTCGGCCGGAAGGCGGGAGCGCGTCTCGGATCCTCACCTGATCTCCTCGGCGGTGTACAACCCGAAGGAGACCTTGGCGAACCGCCACCACGGCACCACTTTCGGCGGCCTCATGGCGAACGGGCAGGTCTCCCCGAAACAGAGCTCGGAGCCGCCAGGCACCCGAGGGCGGAAGCACGCGGTCCCAGCAGCGGAGGGAGAGGCGGGGCCGGGTGCTACCACGCATCGCCGGGGGGAGGCGGGACGGAGAGCTCGTCCCCCGCCACCGCAGGAGTGGGAGCGCCTTCCTTCCCACAGAGCGCTGCGCGAGGGCCGGCATGGCGGCACGGCGGGTAGGGGTGAGCTCCTGGCATCGAGTGCTGTCGCTGAGCGGGCGGTGCGGCCGGTAAGGCTCCGCCGTTCCTTCAGGGCGAGTAGAGGGGAGCGATGGCAGTGAGGGGATGCGGAGGGGAGTTGAGGCGCGAAAGGGCGCGAAAAGGCGCGCAGGCACTTTGTTGTGCGCGTGTGTGGGCGCGCCGTGCGCATGCGCGATGCGGCCTCGGGGAGACGTGAAGCGGCCCGGCAGAGCGGCCCAGCTGTCTGTAGAGTTCTCTCTTGGGTCTCTCCGCACCACAGGCTTGGACTTGTGGTGTTAAAGTGGCCTAACACCTGCCTAAGCGGCAGACTGGGGTTGATTTAAAGGTGTTCCTCGAGTGAAAGGCTCCCGTGCCTGCTGTGCTGCATGTGGGCAAAGCTTGGCTCGTGTCTGAGGTGATGAGGGCATGGCCTGTATATAAATACCTAGCAGATGGGAGCAGTTGTTACGTCGCTTTAAAGCATGTGGTTGTGTTAACAGCATCTTCTTCAGCATCCAGAAGGGTGTTGAATATCTTCAGTGGAGACACCACAACCTCTCTGGCAGCCTTGTTCCAGTTTTTGCACTGAATTAGCTTCTTTAATTTATGTTCACAATCTGCTTTCTTAGATGCCGCTGTTCATGAAAGCTACCTTAAAGCCAAACTACCCTCAAGTTCAATTGCAAATTTTTGACTTGTCCAGAACTTCATTAATGTAGTTTTGCTCAAATAGTTTGACCTCTATTCATTCATAACTCTGATTGGTTTATAGGTGCTCTTCTACTAACACAGCTCTTGGGAAGACTATTGAAAACTCAGAAGGTACGATGCTGTAATTATGAGTTCTTTCCTTTTCCAGCTTCCACACAGCATAGTCTGTCGTACAAAGGAGATAGCGAGTGCCATCTTTCCCCTTTTTATTTCCTTATCATCTTCATTTTGCAGATATTTCCTTGCTTAATATGTTTGGTCCCCCTCACTCCAGGCAGCTATCCATATCCAATCCACAAGCTGCCCAATTACTGTTTGAAATGGAATAAGGTTTTGATATCCCCAACATCCAATGACAAGGAGTTGTCATTTAGTCTAGAGAATCCAGAGAGGACTGAGAAAATATGGGGCTCAAGCTGTAAGATATGGGATAAGGATGATTATGGAGATGTCTATGAGTAAGTGGATAGGTCTCTCTGAAGTAGAAGACTTAGACTTGTGATCCTGTCTACACACAGCTGCTGCCAGCTTCTTCTGTTACCTGATGTAGTAGTGGTCTATGTCACACTGTGGTTTTGAAGACTTTGATTAAGTACTTTTGACTATATTAGCTTAAATCATTGGTTTTCTTTAGGTTGGGGTTTTCTATTAGTTTCTAATAATGATTTTGTTTCTTGTAGATGCTCAAGAAGAAATAGTGCTCCCACGAAGGAAAACTTGGTGAGTGTGTACTATGGGAAGGACTTAATGTGAAATTGCAGAACAGTACAGCAGAAATTAAATAGCCAAATGATGTCTGCATGCAGGCTCCAAATAAGACCACCTTTACCTGAATGCTTTCAGTAGTCTGTTCCTTGTTTGCCTGAAACATAACCGAAGTCTTAAGGATCCATTGGTAGAAGAGAGGAACTCATATATCCATCTTCACAGCTGGGATACTCTTAAGGGCTTCTGAGAAGAGCATTCAAGGATTTTTTTCTTTGTTCTTTCTGTATGTTCTCTGGTAATGTACAATAAAGACAATGTTCATAGCAGGAGGTTTAAATTCTTTTCTGATTTGTTTTTTTTTCCTCAGTCTTGTCTTTCGTGTGGTTTGAGGACAGACTGTTCTTGCAGTTGAATTTTCCATCCCATTGTGAAAAGATGTTTTTTAAGTGAAGCAAAAACAACTATTTTTTTTAAGAACTGAAAATCTTTACAATCCTGTACTTATGCTGCCTAACATTAAAAATCTGCAACCTGGTATTAATGAAAGCTTCTTTTTCACCTAGGGATAAACTAGCAGTTCTCCAAACATTGGCTTCTACTGTAAAAAGGGTGAGTAGTTCTGTTATGATCACGGATAGTGGTTGGTTTGTGCATCATCTCATACACTGCTTGTCATTCTGAAGGCTTTGACTTCTACTATGGCCAGAAATAGAAGGCAGAATTCACACATCAAGTTTGGTTTTTTTAACAGTTTCACTTTTGCTCAACTCACTTTTGCTCAACTACCAGTGAAGGCTGTGCATTTTGATCAGACTTTTGCTAAAAGCAGGAGGGCTGGAGCACCTCTTCTATGAGGAAAGGTTGAGGGAACTGGGATTGTTTAAGTTGGAGAAGAGAAGGCTCCAGGGAGACCTCATTGTAGCCTTCCAATATTTGAAGGGAGGGTGTAAACAGGAGGGGGTACAACTATTTACCAGAGTGGATAGTGATAGGAACAAGGGGGAATGGTTTTAAACTGAGACAGGAGAGGTTTAGGTCAGATATTAGGAGGAAGTTTTTTACACAAAGGCTGGTGATGCACTGGAACCCAAGGTTGCAGTGATGCACTGGTTGCCCAAGGAGGCTGTGGATGCCCCATCCCTGGAGGCATCCAAGGCCAGGCTGGATGTGGCTCTGGGCAGCCTGGTCTGCTGGTTGGTGACCCTGCACATAGCAGGGGGTTGGAACTGGATGACTGTGGTCCTTTTGAACCCAGGCCATTCTAGGATTCTAAGTTTTGCAAATCATCTCAGGTCTCCTGAGAGTGTTAGAGGTGGTGATCCTACTTTCTTTGCACTCAGTGCTTGCCTTGTTGTAGTAAAGACCATTTTGTGGTTGCTCTGTTAGCCCACATGTATGTGCATAATGCAGATGCTTTTTAAACAGTTTCCAAATAGCTGAACCCATTCTGAGAGTGGAATTCTTGTAGCATGCAGCTGAGGTGGTGGAGCTGTCCGTAATGCCTCCATTCCATGAGGCACTGTGCCTTAGTGCATAACAAAAAGTTTCAGTCCTGGGTTCTCCTTCCTACAGGATCCTACTGCTGCTCATTATATGTTCCAGGATGACCCTTACCTTATGCCAAGAAATTCAGCCACTGCTGTGAGTATTTCCTGTAAAATCCTTGATAGCTGTCAGATTGGAATCCTACCGTGAGTCTTCAGGCTGGGCATTTAACTCATTGTAGCTGTATTTGCATACATTGGGTATAGAGTGTGAATCAGTGCTATGTAGAGATCTTGTGATTGCAGTTTATTTAAGTTGAATTACGTGTAATTTAAAACCAGGTAGTTACTGGTATGCTTGTTACTACACAAACAGCATGTGATTAATTAATCATCCTAGTCAACCCCTGGGAATTTTAGCTTTATCAATGAACAGCTGGGTGGATTAAAGTTGGGTGATGCCAGCAAATGTAGATATAAAACAGGGAGAAACTTCCTCATGCCATGTGTCTAAGAAGAGAATCTTGAGGTACTAATGTGAGATTTAAGGCATCTAATCCATAGCTAAGTAATAGAGAAGTATATTATGGTGTAATTTAAGGAACAGACATCCTTACCTTGTTGTAATACCAGAAAATGTATTTGGAATGTCATCTCTTCCCTGTGCTTTTATTAAGAGTTGAAGAAAAAGCATGAGTTTCATTCGTCCCATTGAATCCCTCTGTGTTACGGAAGCTGTTTTTCCTCCCTGTCAGCCTTACAGTTACATGCTTCATCAGACTCTTGTTCTCTCTTTCCTATGCAGCGTCTGTTTTCGTTGTCGAAGGAGTCTGGGAGAAATGCTGCCAAGTATATTATTAAGGAATTTCCTCACTTTTTTGACAAGATCCTTGCTGAACCTAACATACCAGTAAGCTTTTTGCTGTTTGTTTTCATTGTATTTGTGTGTTGTCAGGTAGTGAAATCAACGGTAAGACTGAGCCAAAACTAATGTAAACAGTTGGTTTTGTTAACTAGTGTTGTAATGGTGAGGTTGGAGCATATGCTTGACTTGTCCTCTGTGCTTGTAGAGTTTGATGCCTGAGATTTGTACACCTCAGATTGAAGGTGTGAGTGAGGAAGCTCTGAAAGAGCGCATCAACCTCCGAATGGTGAAAGCTTCAGTGGACCTGTTTGATCAGCTCCTGCAAGCAGGTATGGGCATCACCTTGTTCCAGGATGGAGCTCTGCTTAAATCATGCAAAAACTTCTTTCAGTAGCTGGCACAGTTCTTTAAGTTCTTTGCAGAGAGAGTGGGGAGGTGCTGGAACAGCTGCCCAGAGTGGCTGTGGATGCCCCGTCCCTGGAGGTGTTCAAGGCCAGGTTGGATGGGGCCCTGGGCAGCCTGGTCCAGTATTAAATGGGGAGGTTGGTGGCCCTGCATGTGGCAGGGGGGTTGGAGATTCACAATCCTTGAGGTCCCTTCCAACCCTGGCCATTCTGTGATTCTGTGGCATAATGTGAGATGGTCACCTTGAGTGAGAAATGTAGCTGGTTCACGTTTGCCACGTCTGCCTGAATTTGTCTGCGAGGGAGCGTCGTTTGACCCATGATAAAGATAGAATTCTCTCTTTGCACAGGGTGACTACCACTGGAGGAGGTCTAGGCTTTGTATGGAGGCAATTTCATGACTGTGTTGCTCATTTGTCAGTTTTAAATTTGTATCACAGGAAGTGAATTACCCAGTAGTCTCAAAGCAAGCTGTAGTCAGGAAAAGCAGCTGACATTTCAGTTGCTGTTCGCAGTTTGGGCTGCCAGCTGCTACTTCCTTCTCTTACTTGACCAGAAAAACTCATTGAGTAACACTAAAAGAAAAAGAAATACTCATATCCACTGCTGAAGTTGTCTTCTACTATAAGTAGAAGATTACATTAAGGTGTTAATTTCATACCTCTGTTTCACAGAATTGCCAGAGAACTTCTTTGTCGGAAGAGAAAATAGTAATCTGTTACGACTGTACTTTGGTGATGTTTTCTCACTTCTTTGTGACTGCTGTACATCATTATTTCCTGTAGGTACGTCCGTGTCTCTGGAAACCACGAACAGCCTTTTAGATTTGTTATGCTTTTATGGAGATGGAGAATCTACTCAGGAAAAGGAATCTGAAGAAAAAGAGGATTTGGAAGACGCAGAGGTATGAAAAAGCTGTTGAGCTCTATTTCTCTCTTTCTTAAGTTCAAGAGCTTATAAAGGTGATTTCAAGGTTTTTGCCCCGTGCCCATTTACCTGGCAGATGGTGTGAGGCAGGTCAGATGCAGTCAGCATCTCCTACAAATACAGCAGTTATAAAAATCCTGGTATGACTTACCAGCAAAAGCTGAGCTTAATATCTGGAACCTTGTATTGACTCGTTCTGCTGAACTGTGTTTAAATACCTGTTCCCACTGCCAGATTTGGTTTTATCGTTCACCTCCAAGACTTCTCTAATGCAGATTTAATGAAGCTGAGGGCTTCTTATTGACAGCTCGGAGAATCAGTCCTTGGATGCTGCAATAGATGTGTTTGGCACTACCTGTCCCTGGGACGGTTGTTGAGAGAGAGGGTTTTATACTTTGTATGATGTAATTATTCACTTCCACTCCACAAGTGCATTTAATTCATCTTGTATTTTTAGTAACAAACAGTATTTTTAATCTCATTATCGCTTCTTAAACATCATAGTCTAAACAATTTTATCATAACTCATTCAAAATACTCATCTTTGGTAGCATAAAAATTGCTGTTGAACTTCTGTAAGTACAATTAAACATCAAATGATGTGTTTTAACTTTGGATTCTATGAAACTCACTTCTGCAAAAATCTTTTCAGGTGAATGCTTCAGAGCTGGAGACTCCAAAGAGGCCTCCCCAGAGAGGATCGCACCCATCTGCCTCTAGATGGAGGTACAGGAAGTGTTGCCACTATTCCTGTTTCCAGAGTGCTGTGCACTCACACTGTTGTTAGAAAAATGATGTGAACACTTATTAGCAGTCCATACTTGCAGATACTAATCTTTAAGTACATCTGCATTGGTTACATGTTTGAAGTATTGGTGGAGATCTAGAAAGTGATTGTAGAATAGTTCAAAGGGTGAGGATGAATGTGTTTGAGTGTCAGCCCTGAAGATACCTTTTATTGAGCTCATTAACTCTGAGCTCGTGTGTCAATTCCAGGGAAAACAACAATGCTGAAAGGATATTTAAGGTAATGCCGGAGAGGAACGCACACTCCTACTGCACAGTGATCCGTGGCATGGTGAAGGTAAAATTCTCCTCAGTGCTAGGAGGGCTTTTTTCAGCTCATGAAATTTCACATGCAGAGATTGTTTGTTTGCTTCATTCGTTTGTTTTTTCCAGCATGGGGCTTCTGCTAAAGCTTATGACATGTACACAGAACTGCTGAATGACAGGCACAGGGGTAAGCATCTCCTGTTTTTAATGATGGTCTTCTAAGTAGTAGAAAGCTGTGGGTAGGTGAATGTTTCTTTCATGGCAGTGATGATTGGCGCAGGGGTACGGACCTCAGCTGGATCATGGGAGCTGAGTGCAAACTGCTGAGTTCAGTGCAGCTGGCGTGTGGCTGGCTCACTGGAAACAGGTTTGCATGAGAACTTCGCCAAAGACTGAGCCATGTTACAACAAGTAGCTCTCCACGGAACATCCTTGTCAGTTGGAATGAGTTAGGCTTGTTTTTTGTTACGTTTTGCAGCTGATGTGCACACCTTCAATGCACTGATTACAGCAGTCCCGTTTCTGAAGGACAGGTTCCTGGAAAGATGGGAATTAGTCAAGGTAAGCAGGTAAAAGGATGGGTTAATAGTGCAGGGACTGAGTCTGCATTGTAAGTTTGCAGTTGTTCACAGATTGATGCTAAAAATGAGCTTTGTAAAAGATAACAGTATCTGCTGCAAAGGAGTTAATGCTGGTTTAGATACCAACTAGCTGTTGAGGAGTGAACAGTGTACAAAATCCAGCTTTGTCCTTGCAGAGCAGTTTGTTTTCTGAGAACACACTGATCCAAGAACTGCCAAGCCAGAAAGTGGAAATTATGATCGTAAAATCGTAGGATATAATGGGAAGTTTAAAAAATAGATTTAAAGCTCCTCTCTGAATTGTGATTAATGGTGTTGGAAATGGAATTTAGAGGAGTAGTAACGTTAGAGGTTCCAGTAGTGATGAGATGATAACGTCAGTAAGGAAGAGTAGTGAGTAAACTTAACAGTGTGTTTGTTCTGCTCAGAAGTCTCAAAGACCTGATGTGCTGTCATTTGGCAGTCTTGTTCCTCAGTCAAATTAGTTAAAGATGAGGTAGTTCTCCCTGAAGTGATCACTTGAGGCAGTGTTGTTCACTTGCAGGCCATGAGAAGGCTTAGACTGGGCAAATATCTCTGCCTCCTTGCATGATGATAAACCATGATCCATCGTGTATGAAGCACTAAGGATTTTGTTGTTGCTCTTTGAGATGTTCCTGAATCACATGGCTCAGCAGGAAGTGCAGCCAAACGTGCGAACCTTTAACGCTGTTCTGAAGACTCTGAGGAGATGTGGTGGTGTAGGCAGAAGTATGGCTGTGCCAGTAATGAAGGAGATGGAAGCACTTGAAATTGGTAAGGGAACCAGCGTGCCACAGCCAGAATAAAGTATTTGGTTGCTAAAGTTAGGACCGTGCTTACTGTTATTGTCGACCTGGTTACATCTAGCTCTGTAAGGGCGGTGTGGGCACGCAGTGGGCACAACAGATTTGATGTGTTGTGGAGGGTGCTTTGCCCAAATAGCAGCTTGCTGATACGCTGAAGACGTGCAGAGAGGAAAACTAGGTACAAAACTTTACTGCTTTTAAATTAGAGCAGGGAAGCTTGGCCACATGTCCCTTAGCAATATGATGCTCCTGCTGATTGTTCATGCTTAGATACTGTCCCTTCCAGTACAGTGTTTGTAAACGAGGTCTGTCTGTCATTAGCGTGTGTATAACCAAGATGTTATAATTGCAATATAATCAAGAAAGTAAGGCAAAGCAGACAACGATCACAAAAGAGAATAAGTGGAAGAGCTTACCCTTGGGTTGAGCTCACCAGAAGATACCAAAAGAGGGGATCTCCAGAAGAGATCCTTCCTCTCTGGTAGCCAGCTCTTAAATAGGTCCAGGAGGGGTGGAGCCTGGCTCCACCCCTTCCGGCAGCACAGGTGAATTGCCTTCACCTGTGCTCCTCTGGCTGACTCAAGGCTCACCTCAGGTGATTAATCAGAGGTTCAGGCCGTGACTCAGCAGTTCCCATACAGCGTGAAAAGAGAGAGGGGTGATTGAGTAAATTGTGAGTAGTGCCTGACCAGAAGGCCTGGAGACAGTGAATCAGAGCTTGAGCAGAGTGCTCAGTCAAGAATGTTGTGGTAACTTCCATCTTTTTGCTTTTCAGAGCCTAGCCTTGCAACGTATGATCATCTTCTCTCCATATTTTATAGAACTGGTACGTGCAGTATTACCTTGGCTGTGAGTGTATCTCAAGTAACATCTGGTTTCAATGCTTTCCAAATGCAGTGGATAAGAGCAATTGATTTATGACCTCACATAGAGCTGCTTAGGTGTGCAGTCCTGGCCCTGTTAACTGTTCTGTCTGATTCCAGTTGAGTGAACAAAGTGATACAGAGTATCATTACTTCGTGAAGAGATGAAAGGGTTCTGCTTTGTGTGTTAACTGCAGAAGCTGAAAAGAAAACCTATTTTCTTGAGTTGATACAGGCTACTCAGTCTTTGTGGAGGAGATTTTGTACCAAAAAGTTCATAGTACAGCTGAGATGTGATACTGTTTATTTGTTTGTCCCACAGTTGATCTTGCCCCATCAGGCATCATCTCCGAGGTGCTAGATGATGTTGAAAAGAGGAGCTTCACTCCCCAGGACCCTGATGATGGTATGAATTTCAATCTGTCTGGCAGTCAGGTGTTGGAGGGGGCAGTTGTAACGGCTTGGGCAGCTGTGGGTGTGCTGAAAAGGTGGATGATGAACTCCAGCACCTGTCTTTGTTGCACGTGTTCTCTGCCTTGGGTCAAAGAAGAGAACGTAGCTTTTGTGAAACTGCCCAGGCTCAGACAGCTCACCTATATTTCTATATTGTCAAATTTAGCTGCACATTCAGTTTCTAACTGAAAATGTCCTGTCTGCCTTGGGAGGCTGGGTTTGTGGGTTGCTGTATGTCTCATTGAAAGCTGCAAACTAACAGACTTCATTTTTTCCCTTTCAGCCAAATTTTTTACCAGTGCCATGCAGGTGGTAAGTAACTCATCCCTGCAGTCAGAAATCGTTTGAGCCCTTTAGGTTTTTCTGGATTGTCTGTGAGTTTTCCAGCCTGTCATGTAAGATTTAGCTCTGTGTCATTGTCTTTTTCACCTGTGTCCATCACCTTCTGCAACCTCCCTACACAATCCTGAGTTTTTTTGTGTGATGTTTCTCAGTTGGTAACTTGCCTGTGTACACAGAGCTACACAGCTGCCTGTGCTCTGTGCCTGCATCCTGCTTCTAGCAGCAGTCAGCTCCCTCCACACCAGAGAGTGTCAATGTAGCTCATTCAGCAGCATTGTTTTTCCCCCTAGGGCAAAGCCCTCATTTGTCCCAAGTAAGAAAAATGCCCAGGCAGTCACTGTGCTGAATTGCACTCTGTTAAGAGCATTTGCTGTCAGACCATTACTTGTCTGTGTGAAAGGGAGTCTTGGAAGAAAGTATTAAGTGTTACATTTGGCAGCTTTAAAATCTGACTCGTTTGTTGCAGTGCTGTGATCTTAAGGATATCAAGCTTGCCTATCGTTTAAATAAGGCAATGGAGAAGGGAGACAATTGGAAGTTCTTGGACATGGACCGGTTAAATTTGTACTGGTGAGTGAAGTGAGGTTAACATTCAGTGTCTTGAGTGTTGTCATCAATTTGAGTACAAACTGAGATTTGAACACTGTGCGGGAAGATGCTTTGTTAAACATCAGATATTGTGTGTGCAGTTTGGAAATTAGTTCACAAAGAAGCTCTTAAGAACAGCAGTAGCTAGGATCTATTTTTGGTTTATGGCCTTTCCCAAACTGAAATAAAGCATCTTGGAGTGTAGAGAGTTCATGAGTTCAGAAATGTCAGAAGGCCAAATGTGTAAAACGTGTCGGAGATGGTCATCATTGAAGGTCATACCTCCTTAATGGTCCCTCTTACATTGTTACCTGTCCAGGAGGGCAGAGAAGGATCAGTAGAAGGTTGTAAACCCAGCCCTTCCATCTCCTCAGTTTAGCTTAATCTCCATCCAACCAGCTGAACCTCACAGTCATGCTATCCACTTAGGATGGCAGTTTAGGAGACCACAACAAAGTAGCACAAATGTGGTGGCTGTGTCTCTGTTACATGTAATGATCACAGATACGTTCAGGCACCAAACTTCAGGCAGTTTGACTGTAATCATGGCATGTGAATCTTTGCTAATGTAATTAAGTGCTGTGGTTACAGAATGTAATTAACTAGTTAGAGTATTCTGATTTGAAGAACAGCATACTAAGGCATTGTAGCTAGAGATGCTCCTGTAAGTTCATTCAGACAATAATCTGGTCCTTCTCTATGTTTCGTGTGATCTGATTGTTACCGAATTAGAGCCGTTTTCCCTCCTGTAGGTCAAGATTCTTCTCGTTGTTGTGTATGATGGAACAAATTGATGTCGTGTTGAAGTGGTACAAAGAGATGAGCCCTTCGGTGAGTTTCTTACTGTAAGCTTTAAAGCTTTGCAGTGGAGAACACTTACAGTTCACTGAAGTGATTCTTCCTTCGCCAGCTCTTCTATCCAAGTCCTAAAAATATCTTGGACCTCCTCCAAGCCCTGGATGCAGCCAACCAATTGGAAGTGATCCCTTCAGTCTGGGAAGGTTGGTGGGAGCCACGTGGCTACGTGGGCCATTGCTGGGATATAAGCTGGCAGCAGTGCACAGTGGGAGGTGCTGGGGGTACTTGGTGGTGCTCAGAGAGCCGCAGTCGGATGCTTTGGCAGGAAGGTTGTTATTCCTGAGTGCAGCAGGGAGGGGACTGTGATAGAGAAAATCTCTGCTATCAGTTCTGCCCAGTCAGAGAAGTGGTGGCTGTGCGTGTTTAAATGCCAGCAAGAATTAGAAGTCATTGTCCTGGGAAACGCAATGCTTACCAGGGAGCAGCAGCTTAAGCAACTGCCCAGGTTTGACTCGTGTAAATTCTTTGCCTGTTCTTTGCTTTTTACGCTGGGGAGACGAGAATGCAAATATGGGCTTTAGCATATAGAAAATATCCTTCTGACTGTTATCTTTATCTAAACAGATATGAAACAGCTAGGGTTTAGTAAGAGACGAGATCTTTTGGAAGAACTTTTGTCCTTGATGAGCAGGGATCAGCACCCTGAAGAGGTAAGGAAGGCCAGTAAAAAGCCCATTTCTGTGTATGGCGCACGGTGTTGCTGTCCTTAGGCTGTGCTGTGCTTGAGCTGTCTTACTGCCCCTGGATCTGTGAGGTCCAGTTGCTGTGTATGTGCCATTACAAGTTTCCAGATCTGTCTGAGTTTGTCCAGATCTGCTGAGCTCTTCCGGTTGTCTTCAGTGTGTAAAGAAACCTCACATACAGAAAGGGATGACTTTGGTACCAGGGTTTGGAAGAGGAATCCTTCAGTGAGGGCTGTTGAGCAAGAACATAACACATCTCTGGGGGTGCTCATGGCAGCATTCACGGATTTTTGCCATAGATGTCACTGCCATAACTCTTCATCTTGAGAAACCAGTTATAGGCTTGTATCTCTAAGCACAGCTCTCCTCTCCAGTGTTGTTTTGGAGCAGATCTTTCTGCCAAGATCATCTGCTGTTAATTCGCAGAATGAAATCATGCTGGGGCAGACCTACAGCATCTGTAGAGGATGTAGGAGAAGTGGCATTGAAGTGGATAACGTTGGTTGCAGAGGTTTTAGCATTAACAGTGTGATCATTTCACAGATTCAGCAGGCATTTGCCAAGTGTGCAGAAGATATCAAAACGGTCCAAGAGCAATCTGGGAAGGATCAGGCCCCAGTGGAATGGACAGGCAGTGCACTGGGCAGTGTCACTGTGGTGTTTTCCAGGGCTGGGAGAACCCAGGATGCTTGGTACGTCTGTGGCTGTCAGGAGCTCTTTGGTGATGCTGTATCTCAGGTGTAATCAGAAAATCCAAATCTTAATGGCTGGTTCTCTAGGAATGCTAGTGCAGATAAAGGGATGTGGGTCAGTCCTGCTGGGGATGTTACTGGGCTTTTTTCTTAATTTTCTTGTTCATTTTTGATACCAAGCTGTAGCTGTATGCCTTTAAGATGGTTGGAAGTAAGCACAGTAAGTGTGGCATAGTGTTGGCCATTTGCTTGTGGCAAGGTATGACTTCCTCTCACTTTAATAAGAACAGCTGATTTCCTACAGCTTCCCATTTCCTAATATTTAGAACTCTTCACCAAACTCCTGAAGAGTTTAAATGGTATAATTAAATTCTTAATTAGACCTATGTCTGATTAAAACTAAAGTGAACATTTTTAGAACCCTTTAGAAGCTAGAATTGGCTGTCCTGCATGCTCTCAAATTGAAAATACCCAGGTTAAAATAGGTTAAAATACCCAGCTTCCAAACATGAGGTTTTGAGCCATTTTCTGTTAAACTGAGGTGTTTCTTTGCACTTGTTTCTTGGACACAAAATTAGTAAGAACCTTTCTAAAAGCATCTAAGATTTCAAAGTGAACTTGTCACCAGTCACACTTGTCATTTGTTCTGTAGTATTTGAAGATGTTCTGTGTTAAGCTGTTCAGTGATGTTAGGTTAGGATGCATCTGTAAGCATCTGGAGTGGGATCTGCTGGAACTGGGGATGTCTCCAGGAAACAGAACTCACCTAGGCTTCATCTAGGCTTTGTCCCTTTGTTTACTACCTGTCTGTGCCTGTGTTTTGTTTTTGAACAGGAGCATGATGGAGCGTTTCCAGCAAATCAATAGGATTCCCACGTGAGTACATCCAGGCTCTGGCTTTGTGTACCCAGACCCCCTTTGGCTGAGCCCTTGCACTTCCATTGTGACTGATAACAGTGGCCCATATCTGATGGTAGCTGTTAACAGCACTTTGTGCTTGCCCTTTCCTGCAAGCTTCTGCTAGTCTGGAAGGAAGGCTTCATACTGCCAGGTCCCTCCAGAGCCCCTGTATCAGTTTGGAGAATAGGGAAAGGAATTCTCTGAGATTGTGCTGTAGTTGGTAATTTGTGGGTTGTGAATGTGAAAGGAAGGTGGTTTCCATGTTGTACAAATGGATCTGAAGGCTCTCTGGTTGCAGTGTCCCCTGCTCCCCTGCAGCACCAGCTGTGAACACTTGCTTGCTTCCCTGCTGAAAAGCAACAGAAGTGCAGCAGCTGCCATAGATAGCAAAGGAGCAGAGCCAGCCCTACAGCATGAAGGAGCTGGAGGAGCAGAGCTGGAGTCAATGGCTCCCTGTGCCCATGGACATCACAGCAGCCTCTGGCAGAGACTCGCTGCCTGGGATTTTAATCACTGTTCTCCTGCTGTTTCTGTACCTCTACCAGCCACAGCGTAGGCTTTGGGGGGGCTGTAAAGGAGGGAAGCTTATTTAGGCTGTTGTAAAGGTGGGGTCTTCATCCTGGGCAGTGAGCTGCTGCCATTATTTTTGTGCAGTACTGCTTCCTGTAAGTTTAGGAATTCCAGAGCGCATCACACTGGTATGGGATGAAGGCTGAGATGCACTTGTAACAGCTCTGGCAGGAGCAGAATTGGCCTGCTTTTATCATCTGAAAAGAGTCCTGCCTTTCCTCCTAAGGCAGCTGCGTGCAGTGAGCTCATGGCCACCTCACCTGGGGCCCTGTGAACCACCACCCTTTGCCTTTGCTCTTACAGTGACCTGGTGATGGAGGAGTTCTTGAACTGTGCTAAACAAACCAATTCTCCCGTTGAGGCAATTAAGCTGGTAAAGCTGGCAGTGTCCCTTGGTCTTCCTTCATCGCAGAAGCTAAAAAGCAGAGTAGAGAAGGAATTTGAACTCTCTGAAAACCAGAAGTAAGTTGGACTGCTTTATGGTATTGCTGTAGGGGTATAGTAGGCAGGGTGCTGGGGGGTAATTCCTGTGCAAAGTTTTCTCTGCTAGCACAGCTGAGAGAGCTTGCTTTCAGAATGATGTGCTTTTGTGTTGACTGCTGCATTTACACCTCGAAAAATAACCCCCCCTTGATCACACCTGGAAGGGAATGAGTGTGACCTTTCACTGTGGAGTTACCACAACACCGCTCAGATCTGCTATCACCTTTTCCTCCCCAGCATCTTTTCTGAGCAGGCTCTGGCCTCTGAAAAGACATAGATTTCAGGTGCATTTAAGCAGGGAAATGGTACAGGGCCACCAGTGTATTTCACAGCTTCTGAGGTTTGTGGTCGACCCTCAGTGCGTTCTGTTGACCACTGCGGCTTATTGCTGAGCCTCTGCGGTCACTCTCAGAGGACAGGCCTAGCCTGCTCCTAGCCAGCAAATGAGTAGAAGTGCCTGCAGCCTTGATAGCTGGCCCACCAGTCTGGTTAACTGCAGTAGTCTGCTGTGCCAGAAAGAGATGGGTGTGCTTGGACCAAACGGGTGGACCTGTCCCTTGTGGCAACAGGCATCAGCAGCCCATAGTGTGCTCCTTGGAGTGGGATTACCCTGTGTTTTGGATATTTTGTTTCAAGCTAAAGGTTCCAAAGGTTTTTTTCAACATATTTTTACTCAGCTGTTTAATATCTGCAGGAAGGCACTGGAGAGCATCCAGTCAGACAGTGACAGCAGCGACAGCGACAGCGACCATGAGTAGCTGGCCTCCCTGCCTTCCCTTTGAGAAAAGCTGGAGTGCTCCAGTGAGAAACATGCTGCTTTCTGGAGGCTGCTCAGCAGCACAGCTTGTTGGCAGCTCGAGCAGCACTTTGCTGGGACCTCCTGGGACTTCACCAGCACTAATTTAATTCCTTCCATGCTGACTTCACTTAAGTATGAAGTTTACTCTGTATGTAAATGCTGTAAGTAACGTGGTATTCGTTGTCTGTGGTGTTAATTCTCATCCGTTTCGTGTTGGGACAGGCTTTGGACTGTAGAGGAGAAACTGCCACTTGTTTCAGCCTCTGTACAGCTGGATGCTGTGTCTAATAAATGGCTGAATTCTGGCAATCTCTGTCCAAAAAGTGTTGGTTACGAAGTGCTGCTGATCTGGGAGAGGCCACGAGGTAACCTGTTCTCAGCTTGCAGAGGAATCTTGGTAGGCTTTTTGAGGTAATTTATTGTGAACTTGCAAAGGTCCTTTTTCGGATGGTGCTGAAAAATATCCCAGTGGTGGAGGAGTTAACAGCCACTTCCCTTCATAAAAAATAAAACCTTGGTGGGTGTAATGCTGCAGGAAAAGTCCTGACTGCTGTGAAGGCAGCTTAGGGATCAGTCAGTAATGAGACTGGGAGACAGCAGCTGCTAAAGGTTGAACTACAACTTGAAGTCTGAAAGTGCTGTTTGCAGAACAGTAAAAGATTTGTAAGGCTGAGTAAAGCTGTTTGAAGGCAGTGTTTGCTCTAGGAAGTAAATGTTCACTGGTTAGGGGCATCAAAGACAGAGAGCTCCTGTTTGGTGCCTTTTCTACCACCAATTTAACAGAACAGCAAGTAGCCAAAGCCACAGCCATTCACTTCAGCTACTGGGTGCTGAGTTTCATCACTGCCTTCAGTGCTGCTGAGAATTAAGGCAGTGCTGGGAGCCAGGGAAGGAAGGAGCTTGTTCTTTGTGGTTAGTGAGGCTGAACTGAAGTCTGGCTTGTAGCCTGGTGCACGTGCTCTGAAACTGCAGAACGGGTCTAATAAAAACCACACAGGGTAGGTGTCCACCATAATGCCTGTTCTACATACGTTTGTCAAAGTTGTGCTCACAAAGCAGTGAATTCTGAGAACAGGATTAGTACAGAGATGAAGCCTTGTCTTCTTCAGCTCACTGAGAAAAGCAGTTCCTGCATGGCAGCTGTCTTTGCTATGAAGGAGGAAACTGAAAAGCAGGGAGAGTGGTTGAAGCCTTGTTTTATTCAGCTGACAACATGGCAAATCAATAATGATAGGTTACAAACATTTTGGTTGGATCACAAGCCTGCTTGATAAGATGGGGAAACAAAATAGTTACACAAATTGTGAAGAAGCTTCCTGAAGTCGGTGGTCATGATAACGCAAAACCAGTACAAATACAACAGGTGGTAAATTAAATACAGTGCAAGGAAACAGGACGGGACCCACGCTTTGATTTAACGCTTCCAGCCCGCCCCCACCAGCTGGTTGGTTTGCAACCCTTAGGAGCTCACCCTTGGAGGTCATTGGGTTTCTCTGCAGCGTGAGCAACTGCTGAACTGCCTCTGCACCAACAGTCCAAGCTCACTGCACTTGAGTTGTTCCCAGCCCCACAGCGCTGGCGTATGCTGTCAGGATATCCACTATCTGTTTGGTTTCGAGGGTCATTCGAGCTTCAGTCAGCCAGTCGTGTGCAACTCTCCTGGACTCTCCTCTTAACTGGTTGACGAATTTAGCTGCCAGCTCCAGATCTCCGTGTTCAATGCAGTAGGAAGCGTAAGACAGTAATTTAAATGTATCGAGGTCATCGGGGCTGAGCTCGGTTGGCGGCTTCAGCTGTTGAGGATGGAACACAAGAAGGGACTGCAGGTACGACAGGAAGTACTGATACAAGCTGTTTCTTGTTTCGTCAATCATAGCCACTCTTTTTGCCAGTTTTTGGACTGTGTAGAAACGTGCTCTGAGGGCCTCTTCGCTGTACACCCCTCGTGTCAGAGACTCCTGGGGGAGGGCTGCTGTTAAGGCTTCTGTAAAGGCGTTGTCAGAGCAGCTGGCCTTGATGGCCTTCACTGCACTCTCCAGTGGCTCTGTGGGGCTGTCACCAGAGGCTGTCTTCATGCAGTATTTGAGTGCCTCCACAGAAAGCCACAGCTGATGGGCCTTTCTGGCCTCCTCTTCTGCTACTGCATGACCTGCAAAGTAAGTCAAAGGGGCTCTCAGTTGGGGCACACAGACAGAAAAAACATGGAATACGAAAGCAACAAAAGCCATGCCTCTGAACACTTCCTAAAGCAGCCACCCCCTTGCCACCTGCTCACAGCAAGTCTGTTCCACACCTCAGGGTCAGAGTCCCTGCCAACAGAGCAAAGCTGTGGCTTTGGCAGAACCAGCTTTGGACTCTGCAGCTGGGATTTATTGAGTACTCAGCCAAGGGCAAACCATCAGCCACATGGCTGATCCAGTGTTCAGGCACCGGATTTGGATAAGAACCGTGACTGCTCCTTAAAGAGATGAGATCTCAGTGCTCACTCTCAACTGCTTGCTCAATTCCTTTCAGCCTGGCGTAGGCAGTGTTTATATCCAGCGTGAAGTTGTCAAGCTGCTCCTGAGTAAGGCGTCGGAATTGCATTTCTTGCTCGCTGAGTTTCTCTGACAAGTTCTGAAATAGATATGTACACCATCAGGCCAGAAAGAGCTCTTTCTTTAACTAACTGTATTCAACCTCTTTGTAAGATATGTTTCTGTAAGCTTTTGTTCTTGCTACAGACAACACACATAGTAAATACACTGGTAATAAGTCTTTTTAAGGTGGTGAAATTAACAGTTAATGAATTTCTAATTACCAAATTTTCACATATAGCCGAGGAGCTTAAGACAACTCAGCATAAAACCTACATGCTGAAGGACTTCTTCTCTCGCAGATGAGGGCATTCCCTCCCCAGCTCCCACTGAGTGTTCCAGAAGATGGTTCACGTCTCCTCCAGCTGGAGGCTTCACCACCAGCATTTTAGCCAAATTCCCACTCAGCCCCTGGGGGAACTCCTCTGCCTCACCTGCTCGAATTCCACCTTCAGTTCCTGTTCCTGGATCTTAAGAACATCCCGCAGGTGATCGGTGTGGGCAGCTGCCTGCCGCCGGAGCTGCGTCCTCATTTCGCTCTCCATCACCTCTCGGACCTCTTCAACCTGCACACAATTAAACAGCTGCTATTGCACTGCACTTGTTACCCATCAGAGTACATTTTCATAGAAGTGTTGCAGATTTAAGCTCACATTTCATCTTACAGAGCTGTCAAGGGCCACTCTTACAGCTAAGCCTTTTCCTAAAGATTGCAAAGAGCAGCTGTTCTATATCTGAAGAAGCTTCCCCACTCAAAACCTCCCTTCCACGCTTAGCAAGGCAGGGGGGCCTCAACCCGAAGCCCCCTGCTGCTCCCTGTGCCCCTCTTCAAGGTGAGTTCCACCACTTTACCTTCTTCTCCTGTTCTATTTCAATCTCACTTTTGTGATGCTCCAGTGCTTTCGCCACAGCTGCCTCAAGTGCCTTTTTGTCTTCAAGTTTTTGCTTCTCCAGGGCCAACTCGATGTGCTGCTGCTCCCTGACCCGCTGCTCAGCCAGCTCCTTGTTCAGCTGGTCGATGCGACGATGCGCGTGTGCAATCAGAGAATTCAAGTCGTCTGTTGACAGCTGCCCAGCTGAAAAACAACTGGACGTTAGAAAGGGCTGCAGAGAAGCTGCCCCACCTCCCCCTGGAGAGCTCCAAGGGTCCACACACGGTTGACCTGTGAGCACCTTTTAGGAGATGCTGACTGGTGGTAATGCCCACCCGATGTTCCTTTCTGAACCAAATCTACAAGTACTTCCTATCACTTGGAGAAAAATTACCATAGTTCAGTCGAATCATTCACATCTGTGATTTATGCTCTTCAGCAGTTCTCCAGGCCAACTGTTCACAGCCAGATTTGCTGTTTGTTATCTGGTGCAGCAGTGCTCGTGTCTGACCCGGAAGCTGAGCAGCACCACTAGGGAGCTCAGCAGTTGAAATTACTGCTATTATAAAACAAAGCTGGGGTTTACCCCACTTCAGTTTTAAAATTTAGTTTTCTTTGATCAAAAGGGGGAAAAAAAAAAAAGAAAATCAACCTCAGAATCGAGAGTAAATCAATCATGAAGATGAAATTCAAATTCAGTCAATCGATTTGGTGACCTAGCTCAGAGCACCCAGGCATGCTGGCAGTATGGCAGGAGCTGGCCTCAATCAGGCCAGAAGTTGGGCCTTCCAATTAGAATTAACCACTGTTAGTTAGAATTGATTAGTTTCTGTTTCTCATTGGAATCTCAGGAGCTCAACTGGTGACTGGCTGAAATTAACAAAGCAAGTGGAAGAGTGGCTTTCAGATGCAAACCACACTCACCTGGCAAGTGAGAGCTGCTAGGCAAAGTCTGGTTTAAGCTGCACATGCAGAACTAGTGGGAAGGATCCCAAAGCACAGCCCAGTCTGAAATGTTTCAGGGATACTTTTCACCACTTTGTTGACACTGTGTATAATTTAAAGTGGTGCACCACACAAACATAAAAAAGGACAAAGAGGAAAGAGAGAACATTCACAAGACCAGGAAAAGTTGCAGGAACTCACCTAGATCACTTATGTCTGCAACAGAAAGAGGAGAGGATGGAAAAGTTAATGCACATTCACTATAGCAGTCGGTCGTGCTAAAGTAAAGAGACAACTAACAGCTTCTGCTCTAGAATGATCCAAGGCTTCAGGAGTTTAAGAACAGCATGCTGATCTCTCTACGTTACAAGCAAGATGTAACCTGAAACATCCTCACCACAGCTGCCTTTGGAAACCCACAGATGAACCTCCAGGTTCAGCCAAAGCGAGGAATACAGGTTTGGAGTAAAGAAGTGCAACAGGACACAGAATTTCCAGGTTCTTAGCAATGAGGAGCAGTTGGTTAAAAGACAAATTTCCAAGCAGCAGTGAGAGCCACTATCAGGTCAGTCCTGTACACTTCGTAGGGTCACACTGGTGTGAAACTGAACGCCTGAAAGCTGCCAGGAGGTTCCCTCTCAGAAAAGTGCAGTGCTCACAACACTCAGGACGTCCTTCCCTTATCCTGCATTAGGAATGGCAGCTCCATCTCCAGATCCCAAAATCCTGTTTTCTTCAGAATTAATACCCCAGAAGATTGTACATAAGAGACAGCACAGCAAATTGCAAAGTTTGTTAACCTAGCAAGTTTTTCTAACTTCTTAACAGTAAAGACCCTGAGCGTTCCAGAGACCTAGTGTTTTCATTTAGCTTTGAAAGCTCGTTTGTGGACTAACCTTCATGTTTCTAGAGCATTAAGTACTATTAAGAAAGAGGATCACAGATGTGGAGCTGACTTACTTAAGCCACAAGCACTTAATTGTGAACCTGACTTCTTCCCTGCTTGCCTGATGTGGTATCTGAACCTTCCAACAACTCCAAGTGATACATTTATCCCTCTAGTGAGGCTGAAAGATTCTAACTGTACTTCTGGATCACATTTCTTGCTTCACTTTTTTCTTTTATAAGGAAAGAAGGAAAGAATTCCAGCTGAAAAACCCAAGCACCTCAAAAACATGGGTGTGCCAGATATCAGACATCAGACAAAGAACTGTATCAGCTGGAAAACACCATGCAGCCATTCACTGCTTCTGTTACTCCAGATCAGCTCTTGTGTCACTCTCATTTAGAACTAACATAGCAGGATGGGTAAAGTATGTAAAGAGCAGTGAATTCGCTCTTTCAGTCATTTAAAAAGAATCAGGGAATCCTGAAAGCAGACACTGTTACAGCTGCTCTATGGTTACTGCACTGCCATCACCCCAGACTTACTGAGCCCCTTCCAGCCCGGCTGCACATCGGGGGTGATGCTGTCGAGCTCTCTCTGAAACTCCTCTCTTGCTGTAGCCACAAGTTCGTGATACTGAGCCACAATCTTGGCCTCAGACTGCGCTGCCTGAACCTGTAACAAACAAAAAAGGACACTGGCTTATCTTTCAAGGCATGGAGACTTCATCTAAGAGCAAACCTGAGTTAGTGGCAGAGATCTTTATCCTCACTTGGGGAAAAGCTGGCCTGTGATATCAAGCCTCTTGCATAAAGCAATTCTTCACACCAACTGCACAGATCTACTTCTCCACATGCACACTGTAACTTTGTAGTCAATCTGTAGCCCAGAAAAAAACCAAGATAGTATCTTAAACTCAGTAGCTGCCTTTAAAGATATCCAGCTCTACTCCTTCATTACAGAATGTTTTCTGCCATCAGAGCAGTGCTGCTATCACACAGCCCCAGCAGGGAGCTGCCCAACCCTCGGTAAGTTCCCTACTGCCACTCTTAAGAGAAATTCTCCACTGAAAATGCATCAGAGGAATCAATTATCCTGCAAAGGGACATGGTTTCAATTTGGCTTTTCATCCTCTATTTCCTGAGCTGTAAAGTGATCTACCCACAAAGTCATCAGCAGACTCCTCCCCAACCTGATCATTATATAGGTGTGCCCCAGATCCAAAGAAACAAGTTCCTTCTCAAGGTTAAAAAGTAACCTTCTCAGCAGTCAGCCCTAAGTCTCCCATGCCCTGCCGAAGAGCCACCACCAGAACAACTGGATACACTTTGTGAGAGGACCCCAACCAATCTGCACACTGAATGCTTTGTCTCATCTTCCAAATTCCAGTCCAGCATCAGACAGAAGGAACTGCAAGCCGCCCAAGGAAAGAGCAGACACCGAACAAGCTGGCTGCACAATCTTCTAGGAGACAGTTCAGGTTTTTCTTGCAAAGTCCTTGTCAAGTCTACCCACTGGTACCATAATCAGCTCAAAGAATGACTACAGCTAAAGATAACATTTAGAAAAAGGATTTAAACTAGAAAATATTTGATCCACTAGAGAGGACTTGGAGAAAGGGGGACTCATAAGCTGCCACGGAGTCCTCGTTCTAATGCTGATGAAGAACAGCTGAAGCATTACCTTTTTCACTACGTTGTCCAAGTCAACTATCATATGATGAAGATTTTCCTCTGCAGCAATAATGTGAGCTTTGGCTCCTGGGATCTGAGACTTCTTGGCATTCTCAATTACTCCTTTTGTTTTCTCTAACTCCTCTCTGAAAAGAAAAGAAGCTGCTGATTATAACACATAATGGTCTTACTGCATAACCCCAGAGTAAAGATCACTTTATGCTATTTCTACAGGAAGAAATCCCTGACAACCAGTGGGTGCACTGGTGATGCTTTAAAAGTTGGACTTAGTGATCTGAGAGGTTTCTTCCTAAAGATTCTACCAGCCTGTACACAGCCTACAACTGTGCTGCTTCAAAGATGTTCCCCTCTATTTCCTATTTGCCCCCTCAGCCTCAGAAGCGTTCAGGAGTTCCCAAATTTATTTCTATCCTCACTACAAGAACAGCTTTTGTCCATCAACTTACTTGTGCTGCTACAATCACTGCATAATGACCTTATCAGGTACATCAGTGTAATTTATAGAGAACCTGAGGTTACGAGCAGTGCCTCGCTTCAGAACTCAGGTTTTCACTAAGCACCCATCTCAGAAATATCCAGCCTTATGGGCAGCTCTGCTGAAGGATGGAACCAACAAACAGCGCTGTAAGAATTTCACATCACAGCTAGGAGAAGCTAATGATTTAATTTTACACTGCAGCTACGAGAAGCTAATGATGTTACTGACTCAACAGACACACAGTGCAGCAATGGAATTCTTACAGTAGGCATAATGATTAAATTATCCACAATGATATTAAAAGGATTACGGCTGATTGTCTTATTTAATCTTACTTGAACTAGCCAACACTGTATGTAAGTACAGACAGGAGATAAGTTCTTACAGAGAGAAATGAGAGTGTTGTACCACATGGTAGGCACCTAAGATGTGCAGGCAGCAAACCTGCAGATATTCATCAACAGATATTCACCCTATTTTAATGATGTGAACAAACACATCAACTCGTCACACACAAGTGATGCTACTTTCTGTCTAGAAACTCATCTACTGGCTGCCAGCCCACGCGCGCTGTGTCGTAAAGCCAGGGACTCACTTGGCTTTCAGAAGGACATCAGCAGCTTCATCCACTGCCCTCCTTCGATCTTTCAGAGCCTCCTCCAGAGTGCGCCACTGAGCTGATTTCTTCTCCCCAGCGGTCTGAGAAGCAACACGTTTTTCATCAGTGTTATGGCAATCCCTACATTACAAAATCACCCCACAGATAACATCCAAGATTCAGAATCTGCTATGCTCACTTCACTCAGCCTGAGCAAATGCTTTTGTTTCACCAACAACGCAGCTTGAAGCTCTAACAATTTCTTCCTTCCAACGTTTTGTTTTGGCTTTGATCCTTGACGCTGTGATTAACCACCCCATCACACCCTCTGCAACAGAACTTATCAGGAAGCAGCAGTCCTACACAAAGTGGGACATCAGCACACCGGAACCACAAGCTGCTGTTGCTCACAACCCCTACCCATCTCTAGACAATGCAAAGCCATTCCAGACCAGGAATAGAACAATATTCTAGGAAGACTTAGGCAAAAGGAATGGTTTGACAGAATTATCTTGGGGTGTCACACTGTTCAGCCTAACAACAAGGAGCTTGGGAATCAAAATACCACAAGGCATTGAAGATTATCAGCATGTTGACTTAACTTTTCTACTCACAGAAAGGGAATGAGTTGGAGGGAAAAAACATGTCAAAAGCAGAAGCACTTTATTATTAATTCATACATTTTGCAAGTGGGAAGATCAGGTAAAACTGTGACAAAGATTAAACCTCAGATTTTAACTACGAGATGAATTGCTGCTGAGCACAAGTCCCCAGCTGCCCAATTTACCTCTGAGTCATCCATTGCCTCCTTCAGTATCTGCAAGTGAGCATTCACTGCTTGCACAGCAGATTCCTGTGCAGTGATTGCCTGAAGTGTTATACGAGCCGTAGAGCTCAGGGCTCCTTCCAACGTTGCTGCAAGGGCTGGAAAAAATACTGGAATTAACTGAAGACTCATCACTGCAGTGCCACATTACATCTCAAATGTAGCCTTACAATTTTCTGTGGCCCACAGGAGTTGGTCAGTTGGGAAACAACTCCTCAGTCCCTTACAGTGTGTGTGGGAAAACCCCAGGTATGGATTTACCTGAGATCTTCTCTTGCTCCTCTTTGTCTTGCTGGGCAAGACGAGCTGCAACTTCGTCTGGTGATCGTTCTTTTATAGCATGGGAACCCTCGTGTTCTTTATCTATAAAAGCAGAGAAATTGTTTAAGCATCAGATTCAACTGTTCCATCCCAACTGCTGTACAGACCACTTGTAGGAAGTAACTTTCTTTTTAAAATTGACTTTGGTAGTTAGCATCATTTTATAAATCTGACTTCCGAACAAAGCCGTACCAAAAGTACCTCAAGCTTTTTTGTATCCATAACTGTAAAGTGAAGGTGCTTCACTTGGCCCTGCAGAGCTCTTCTAAAGCACAGTCAGAAAGCCACCAACAGCAGAGGCAAACTGGGCCGTGCAGCTTCCATTCAGCAGACAGGCAGACTCTCCCCTCACATCCATCCCTGTAACTCTCCCCACCATCAATCTCACTTGCTCAGCATGCTGAAAATCTATTAACAAATGATGGAAGATCTACAAAAGGCACAAAGAGTGCTTCTCAAAAATGACAAATATCAGCCCAGAACCAAAAATCGGTGCGTTTGAAGTGACAAGACTTTGATTTTCTGTGTGGAATTCATGCAGTCTTTTTCACCTTCTTCAGTCTGTATCCCCGGAGCTGGCACCGACACGGCTACCCCTGTTGCAGAGATGATCTGTGCTGCAGCTGTGCCTGCTGTTAAGGACAATTACAGAACTGAAACAGTTAGTATGCACTACAGTGAGAACAGGGAAATAATAAACACTGGGTTTTTCCTCTGGAGGAACATTATTTGGACTTTCATGTTTTATTTACAGAAAAGGAGACGGCATTAATTACACACACACAAATCTTCACCTGACATGTCACATAAAGGAACAAAGATGACAACTGTGGCTCTATGTTCCTTTTAATCTGGCTTTACAAGCAGCTCAACAATTATCTCAATTAAGCCATACTACACTTGCTTAAGAAAAAGAGAGAGAACATCTCAAGAGTCCAGCACCCAAAGTGAGCCTTGTATGTAGAACTATGGAGCACAGTCATTTATATTAGATTCCAAATATTCTAAGGTACATAAACTTAACTAAGCAAAAACAGCTCAAGCCTTTCTGGGCAAACTTCCTTATGATTAAAAAGAATATTAATTCTAAAAACCTACAGCATACACATCTGCAACCATTCCCAAAGCCTATCTTCATCTGCTCTGGGATGCATGGTACAAGAGAACATTTGCATTTCTGCTTCTCTCTGTGTGACATTCTGTAAGTTACCTTCTTTTTCCTCTGAAGGAGCAACAGCTTCTGTTTTGCTTGTCTGGGATTTGGGAGCAGGCTGTTTGGATTCTTTCATTACTTCTGCTACGGATGAGATCTTCAGTGGACCTTGTTGTACCTTGAGAACCAAGAGTAAGAAATACCGTCAGTTTTCCAAACAGTTCTTGTGTGTCACCAACTCCACTGAATGGCAAAGAATACTTCCACATCCAGACAGCTGTATCGTAAATCCAGCCTTCAAAGTACAAATGAGAATGACAGCAAGGCCATCTAATTTTTCACCTTAATTTTTAATTTAGAGAGAATGCTTATAATTTTCATTCCTGCAAAGCTGAACATTTCAGTAGTGGCAGTTTCTCCTACAAATAAAAATGAGTTAAGGTATGTATACAAAGCTACACTGTCATATTCAAAATGTGCCAAACATTTCTCCTATAAAGAAAGGTTGAGGGAACTGGGCTTGTTTAACTTAGAGAAGAAAAGACTCCAGGAAGACCTCACTGTGTCCTTCCAGTACTTGAAGGGAGCATATGAACAGGAGGGGAAACGGCTGTTTACAAGGGTGGATAGTGATAGGACAAGGGGGAATGGTTTAAAACTGAGGCAGGGGAGGTTTAGGTCAGATATGAGGAGGAAGTTTTTCACACAGAGGCTGGTGAGGCACTGGAACAGGTTGCCCAAGGAGGCTGTGGATGCCCCATCCCTGGAGGCATCCAAGGCCAGGCTGGATGTGGCTCTGGGCAGCCTGGTCTGCTGGTTGGTGACCCTGCACATAGCAGGGGGTTGGAACTGGATGATCACTGTGGGCCTTTTCAACCCAGGCCGTTCTATGATCTTTCCATTATAAAGGGAAACGTACAAGCAGCACTGTTACACAGTAGTCAGCAGTGGTTCTATGGAATCAGTAATTCATGAGATGAGTTTGAAACACGAAGGGACCCACAGTGTGGTTCGGTATCATCTCAAAGAGTAACAATCTAAACCAAAAGTGCTCAGTTCATAATTCTTAACCCTAGTGCATAACAAAACTGATTAGAATTTGAAAACTAAGGGCAGATCTCTCTCTAAACAAGGAAAAGTGAAGTGTGCAGGAGGGCGGTGAATGGGAGCCGCTTACCGGTTTCTTTGGCATGGGCACACTGTAAGGCGCAGGACCGAGCGCCATCTCAAACAGTTTGTCAGAGTAGGGAATGGCTTTCTCTACATTCTCCCGGAAACGCGGGTCGTAGCTGGCATACAGGACGGTTCCCCCTATTCCTCCACCCACAAACAAGACGCTGGCACCAATGATTTTGCCTACAGAACCGCTGGAGGGAAAGGGAGAAAGAGCAAAAATGACGTAAATCCCACTGTATGACAAGAAAGCCTCCAACAGATTTTAAAACTTCAGCCTATGCCTGGGAACACCCACTGTGATCCAGAAGGCGGCCACCAACCCAAGGGTGTGGGACAGACCAAGGGATGGAAGCATCACCTCCACCCCTCCAAACCCTCCGACGCACCCGGACTCCCCCGACGTGGTCGCATATCCGCAGCTCAGTCGTGGCGGACGGAGCGCTGCCCTCCTGCACCGGCAGTTCTGTGAGGGGTGGAGGAGAGCAAAGTCAGGCAGTGAGCACATCTCAGCCTCTCCTCATCCCAACGCACAGCAGCTCGGCTCGGTCTGAGAGCTACGGCAGCAACCAGAGCTGCTTGTACGCTTGCAGCTCCTTCACGAGACACAAACACGTTTCAAACACGCAGCCACTTTCAAGAGAGATCTGATTATATTATAAATGAAATTACCATGTGAGGAGTGATATTTTACCATATTCTACTTAGCAGAGATAACATTACCTAAGACTTTTATCTCCTATTTTACCTCAAAATGAAGATTTACCAGAAAGACCGGTTAAGCAGTGGGTTGACATAAATCTGACCTAAGAAGCCAGGCAGACAGCACAGACCCCTGCACAGGGCACTGGGAACAGCTGCTGCCATTTCTTCCTCCTACTCAGCACTCCTGTGCTATTTAATTTACCTAAATCCTGGAAAGCTCCTTGTTTTACATTAATTACCTGCTATTGCATTGCTACAAAAACCACTCCACAAGGTACATCACACCTTCCCTGCAGTCAACAGAAGAACAGCAGGGACTCCAGAATTTGAGATGATCCACATAATTAACAAGCCCTGCCTCACACACAAGTGCTTCATGCATAGCCTCAAGCAGCAACACAGAGAGCACAACCTCATTCTCTGCATTCATTCAGTCCAAGCTAAACCTCCCGCTCCCCTCTGGCTGCCCCATAACAGCTCAGGCTGCCCAGGGCTCAAACCAACCTGGCCTTAAGCACCTCCAGAGACAG